ATAATCTCAGAGTGATGGATTTGACCCTATTACGCAGCCTCGTCTCATTCTAACCATTGTAGAGATGAGTCTTATACTTGAAGAATTATTTAAGCTTTAGTACATGTGATTGTGTTCACGAAGTACCTAACTGACACTATGAGGAATTCTTCAGTAGCTGACGACAGGGTAAGGTCGGGAAAGCCTAAGAAATGCTTCAGTCGGTTTTGTTGAACTATTTAGCGAGTGCTTGTAGTATTAGTTTGAGAGGGTGACTTGGAGGATTCAGGATGATTCTTGAGGAAAGTATAGATAGGTGTGGAAGGTAGTATTGGACCCATATAGCTGAAAGCAAAGGATCCATACTCGAATCGGGGAGAGTCTTGGGGAATCTAGGAAGCCTGCCGGATGAGGATTCTTGGGTATGTTCTGATCTTTTGTATGTTGTCTTTCAGTATGACGTTGAGCACTCAGGAAAAGGGTTCAGCTCCTGCTTCTGACCCAGGTGCAAGTACTGAATTGATCGACGAGTATATGCGGCAGTTTATGACGACAGGGGTTACACGTGATATTTTGGAATGGACTCATGTGATCTTTGGTTAAGTTAAGGAAGGGATTTTGGAGCTCTTGGATGGTCGTCTCAGGGCATTTCGGGCCGAGACTGTTGCAACGTAGTTAGGGGATCTTCCGGAGCCCAAGGCTTGTAGATACCTACAATCCTTCAGGAAGGAGGGTCATATTGCTAGTTCTCATCATTTAGGATCAGAGGTGGGTGATGCACCATGTTTTCAGGAGGGTCGATTCCATGATTAGATTGCTACAGAGGTTTCATTGGCTTTACGTGAGGAGTTACCCGACATCATTGGGAGTGTCACTAACAGATTGGTCACCAGCTTCGAGGGTCAGACCTCGGTTTTTCAGGTGGTAGACGGGATGGTCGGGGTAACCTAGGAGCATGAGATTGGTTCAGATCAGCATCTGGGAAAGAGGAAATGGACTCGTAGTCCGACTCGACAAATGATAAATTGGAACCCTGATTAGATAAGTTTTACTTCATTGGTTATCCATAAAAGTCTATTGGATACCTGATCTACAAGCGTTCCGAAAAAAATGTGTTTGTTGCTTGAAAGAGGTTCTTCCTTGAGAGGGATCTTATTTACAAAGAAGGCAGTGGGAACCAAATTCATATTGATGAGCTTCAAGATTTAATGGAAGAAGAACCTTTAGTTGACACTAGGACTCAACCTGAGGTTCAACAACTTATGGAGACAACTGATATATCTCCATCTCCCCCTCGCAAATCCAATTGAATTTGTATTTCTCCTAAGTTCTATGGTTTCGATATTAACCCAGGGCACATACTGGTCGGTGATCGTGATTGTACACTGATTGGTATAGAAGAGCAAATGATATATTAATGAAAACTTAGAATGAATGGTTGTTGATAAACATAATCTGAAAGCTTATCGAAAAACAGAAAGAAATGATAATTCATTTCTTAAAAAAATACATTGTTTGATTTGCATAAATATTTTAGTAAATTATTTTGGTTATTAATTTTATACATAACAATCACTTAATGAAAAAAATATATATAAAAACTTTTAAAAGCTTAATGGGATTGGTTTTTGGACTTATTGAAATAAAATATAAAATTTTCTATAGCAAAATAAATTTTATTATTATATTCTTCAATTAGTGATCGATACATAAACTTGTCATCAGGATAAGAACCTAGTGGTTGAGATGATCCAAATATCAAACGTGTCGCATTTAAAATATTGCTAGTATTCTATAACGGGTCTTCTGCATGGATCATTTTTGTTTTTTTTTAAAGTAAGCAGCCTTGAATTTAAATATGAC